CCCGTCCTCGAGATTCAGGGTGTCCCTATAGTAGCGCCTGGGGGGAGGTATCTACAACCCCTCGAAAGGCACGGGTTGGTGTAGGACTAGGTCTAAATAGAGAGGTCTGGGTCGCACCGCTGTAGGGCTTGTCTTGCGATACGATTAGGATATAACAGGTCACGAATGACACCCCCTGGAGGAAGACTATCCTTGGGGTTGTCATGAGCCATTGGATCCGCTCACTGGTTGAGTACGACGTCAGACACCTCCCGAGGCCTGGCATCCACCCTCCGGACCTTTTAAAAATAAAACAAGTGGACCTGCCGAAGCTACACTGCGGCGAAGGATGATGACAAAAACATTTTGTGAAACACCCCAGCCATCAGTTGGACCCCATGTTTGCAATGTACCCCTACCGGACGCTGCCCAACTTTGCAAAATGCCCCGGCAGTTGCAAAGTTTTCGTAGGTGCAATTGCAAAAGGCCAAGCGAATTTGCACATGTGAGCCCAATAGGCCATTTCACTGTGCCCATATCTTTTAGGGACATTTTGACATATATGCAATGACTTGCTGGTTTTGGTTGCCTGTAGCCTCTCTCGTCGAGGCTGTACTATAGGTAGGATAGATTCGTAATTTTGTTTGGCTGAGGGCTAACCGAGAGACCTGCCTGTAGGGAAAATCCGAGAGGGACATATCTGCAAATTCGGGAAAATATAGGCCCGTACCAACTAACAGTACCTACAGCTACCTTAACTGCGAATAGCAGGCCCGGACTACCCCTAGGACAGACAGGCCCTACGGGCATAAGCTGATAGACGGTCCTATAACCTATAGCCGGGCAGGTAGAGGCCGAGAGGCCGGGACTCAAACGGTACCGGTCGGTCCAGTCAGTCCGGTCTAGGTCGTGTCTAGGCTAGTCTAGGTTATAGATAGAATCAGGACATCGGTTCAGGGCTTTTGGCAGTTGGTAACGTGTACATCGCTGCTGTGCAACGCGTGAACTGAAAGTGGTAACAGCTTCAGCATTGGAGAAGACGGACATAGCCGAACCTGCGGAGTGTCAGTCATGGCTGGGACTGACACTGAAACTCTGACAGCACGCGGGGCTGTTCAGAGGTCTGGGCTAAGTGAAGTCCGCTGGAGGCGGGAGAAGTGCTGCCCTGCTGGACCCTCCTCCGGAGTAGGGTTACAGGGTGTGTGGCGCTGCAGCTTCTTCCTCAGAGATCTTCTTGTCAGGAGAGGTGGTGCTGCTGCAGACTTCCACCCGGGAAGTTATTCGGCACCTCGTCATTATCAGATACTGTGGAACTGGTCTTCTTCTTCATCCTCTGAGGGGCGCTCGGCCTCAGAGGCCTGTTTCAGGGTGGCGCTGCCTTCTGGAGGCTGTATCTGGGTGGCGCTTGATGTTTTGGGGATTCAGGGGTAGAGATAGCGGTTACTCAGGGTTGGGGAGTGAAGCGCTGCTCAATTCTGATCAGCACACCGTAGTTCAAGGGTTATCCTGACAATTCGAGACTCTGAGTGTAATAAACAGTGTTAATACTGGGTGTGAACTATCTTTGCTTCATTGTTCCTTGGATGTGATCTACTCAGCTTTCCTTTGTGACTGGTTGTGAGGACTCTGTGGAGCGAATTGCACTGTCAGTGCTTTCTGTCATATCGCATGGTCAAGTCTTCCGCTGTGTTTATCTCTCCCTGTTCGGTGTGATTCTCCCATCCTCTCCCCTTCCTTCTGTGTATGTATGGGCATACCTGGAAGTCTATGTGTGTGAGTGTTGGTCATCTGACAACAAGCAATCAGGTTCATAACATATATCTCAACTTATGGGGGTATTTGGAAAATCACACCCCCACCCCCCAAAAAAAGGAGACTCTCTCTCTCTCTCTCTCTCTCTCTCTCTCTCACACACACACACACACACACACACACACAAAAA